ACAAGTAAAACACCAGCTAGTTTTAAGAATGAAAGCTTCTGCAAAAGCATGTGTTCGCGTTCTATCAAAGAAGTCCCAATAAAATCCATATAAGAAGCAATATAAAATACACAGTAAGAAGTACCATGGTACTGTGATATGGAAATACTGAGATGTACATTGTAAACTAATCCACTTATTTGGAATTTGTAAAGTAGTTCTTCCAGATGCATTTCTCTAAATTAACGCATTGGGAGAAAAATGACTATCAATAAATAAAGTTCACTATTTTTCTCACTTCGTAGAGAACTTTAAAGTTAATAGAGCATTGCTTTGGAGAGCTATACAATATTTATGATGGTAAAAGACAATTTTGACATTAGTTCATATTTATTGTGGATTTTTAACAATCATGCTTTAATGTGCAAATATGCATCAACCTCTGCCCAAACTAGAATTTAAGGAGATACTTTTCACATGGTATATAGCAGAAAACTATAGAATATGTTTATAATTTCCCTGTCTTCAAATCTTAGTCTGTAAACCATGTCCTAATGATATAGAGCTTAATATTTTAATTTTTAATTTGATATTTGTGCACAATGACTCAATACTCTGTGAAATTCACAAAATGGATTCCTGCTACTGAAATCACTTCAAGTATTTTAGTAAAAGTCATTTCCTGCTAACATGCACTTAGTCTGTACAGAGATTTTAATTACTGTTTGCTTCATGCTAAAGACGATTTTTAAGTTTATTTGTTATAGAGGAAACAAGTCGGTGGAAACGTGAGGGAAAGGTTTCAAACATTTTTTAGTATAAAGTGTGACTTCTTTTCCAAAGAAAGTTTTATTGTGTTGTAGTGCATGTCACTAGATATAACTGAGGTTTATCTCTGTGATTTTTTTCTATGCACACAACTCACACAGGTTTGCTCACACGCCAGCCAAATCTTCTATAATTGGATAACGTGCTTAAAAGAAAATCATATTAAATTTCATAAGGGAGAAATTAAAACACTGAAACTGTTTAGTAGTGTCCAGATTGTATTTTGTGTGCCTTCAGATGGGCGAGAGAACGTGCTTTAAAAGTCAATTTCTCTACAGACCCGAAGACCAGAGCCTTATTGTAAAATGGTTTTGATTTTATCTGTTCTTATTAAAGAACAGATTGAACATTAAAAGGTGCGAAATGTTTGAGAGCTACGATTGTTTGAAACATTTTGAGGCATGAGAGGCATGTTTCAGAAACACTGATTTCTCAGTATTTTCTTTGCCACAGGAAAAGGAGCCATTGCTCATGAACAGCATGAGTTTCGTCAACCAATACTCTATTGTCGCAGAAAACGCTGATGACATATTTAATGAAAATACTTCATTTTAATTTCTAAGATTTTGGTTGCCTCTGTAAGGAAGCCAACCCTATGACTATAGCTATCATCAACTTTGAAATGAATGTTTTCTTGATCCAGAAGCAAATTAACTTTTACAGAAACTCAGGACCCGGTAAGAGGAGAAATTCATTTTGTGTTTGCAGCATCGCTTTCACTGTAAATAAGATGCGAATTATATGGATCACCTCGCAGCTTTTGCGTTCAATGCCTTAATCTTTCACACAATTTGAACAGGAAGTTTGATTTGAGCCGCAGTATTTGTGCGGTTCAGAGTCTGTGCAATCGACATCGGCACTTAGTAGTTTCTCAATCAACAGATGAACTGGGGTGATTTGAATTATACATCAAGAATAGGATCTTTTGGCGCATCTTGTAGAATGCTTGAAAATTAGCATTGTTCAAGGAAAACGAGGTTTTAGCCCATTAGTTTGCTATTACAATCTTCAAGGACATTGTTGGGGTTTTTTCATAGTGATTGTGGAATGTTCCATGACCTTCAGTACAAACCCCTATGGGGCTGACATAAGAAAATAATTTAGGAACTTGTTCTCCAAAGTTAGCCTGTAGTAACTTAGAACGTGTGTCAGGTTTTAGGGGAACTGAAACCTGATTAATCAGATGTTTCTCTGTATCAGGAAGCATGATGAGTAGCGTAATGTACCGAGCTAAGCAGACATAGATGAGTCTGAGTTAAGGAGACAGGTGATGTATTGAATAAATGTTTATACATTTACTCATACTTACATGACACATTATCCTTCAGTTGACTCTACGGACAAAGATGCCTGACAATTTCCTTAGAAGTGACCTTGCCTTGGCCAGGGCACACATCTGGGCTGCGGGTTTGACCCCGGATTGGGGGGCATATGGGAGGCAACTGGTCGATGTTTCCCTCTGACTTTCATGTTTCCATCTCTCCCTCTCTATCTAAAATCAATAAAAACATATCCTCAGGTGAGGATTAAAAAATGATTTTAAATTTTATTTGCTCGACAACATCATGACCTTTTAAAATTTCATTAAAGTAGCTTTATTAGGTGACTCTAAAATTATATAAGATAAAATAACTGCAACTGTTCCTTTATGGAAGTGAATGGCAGTTATAGATCGATGCGTGATGCTTCATCAACAAACATTTCCCATGCAGCTCGTGTGGAGCCCTGTGGATCATCCAACTTTTCAAACATTATTGATTTATTAGAAATTCTTCCTTTCTCATTTAGACAGATGTCTCTAATGTGCATTGGGTTCCTAAATATTTGCGTTAGGATTATGAAGGAAATATTACAATATGTTCATATAAATAATATAGCATGTTCTGGTATTACACTCATGATAAATTTTAGCTATTTTATGTGACTTAAATATGAGCTGCATTTTTATTATAAAATGTATTTTCTTAATTTAAACTTGGTAATACAAGTCTCCCAGTAGTTCCTATTGTTTTAATTTACTAATTAAGATATTTGTTTGGGTTATAAATTCAGAAAATAATATAAGAAACTCGATCATGTTTATAAGTAAGCACTTGTGCACACTTAAATTTGTATATTAGTTTCACAGTGTGTAAGGAAAAATAACATCTGAACTATACATTGTGTTTTAATTTGTTAATTAATACATTTAATTTCAGAAAACTTAATAACCTGAAAACAATTTTCTTAGTGAAAACATATTTAATTTGTTAGATACATTCATTCTGTGTATTGGCCAAATTACATTTTAAGTTATACATACATGATATACATAGTCATTCATAACATAACGTGTGTTTGTATTGCATTTTATTTCTGTCGCAGTGAGTCACAACAACTGTGCTATTTCCAAAGACAAGGACTGTGCTTATTTTGATCTTGCAAAAATGCTGAGCAGTGTGGATGCTTGAAATTTAAGGATACACTTAGAGATGGACTTTATTTTATGGAAAAATTTTAGAACAATAATAAATGCACTTATTAATTTCTGTGTTAGCATATAATATTACTTGAGAGTGGAGAAAAGGTTCCCCTTTTTGGGCCATGTTTCACGTGATGAACTGATGTTTCTCAGATACGGTCTTGAAAATCTGATGCAGAATTTGTTTATTACCCTGAATTTTTAAAAAATCGGTATTTGACTTTAGTGGATTAGGAACCAATTCTCATTTTTCGGCAAGGGAGCTTAAGGTCTCCTAGGATAGATTTCTTAAATGGGTTTCTCTTCACTTTTATTACTGTATTAATGTAAATTCACTTGCATTGCTTCTTTAGTTGCGCCTCCTTACCCCTAGAAATAAGTCTAGACCCATCACAGTGATTTGCTCTGACCTTTTCAGTTACCAAATTAGAAAGGATTTGATAACTAAGGTTTAGACTGCAATGAAATGGGAGTCTTAAAAATCACTCCAGTATATTTGCAAACTCTCCATTTAAATATTACAGGAGTTGGTGCTGAAGTAGAACCAGGATTTCAGGGCTGGGGGTTGTGGAATTCACTGAGGTGATCCATGCAACGTAAAGTATCTTATGAAAGCACTGTTTTTATACTTCCACTTGGTATTACCAGTAAATTATATTGGTTATGGATAAAACACTCTACGATGAAAAAGAAATGTACTGTTTGCGCCAATGACATTAACCCTGATCATTGCATAGAAATGTTATTTTCCCTTTCATTTTTCTCTCTCTGACCTATTCCTTGTCTGTAAGCATTTAATATGTCTTTAGTATCATAGTATTTTAGGTTTATTCAAAAAAGATTTTTAAACAAGTTCAAAATATTTATCTTTAAAGTTTTTATCTTTATATGCACGTTACAAAATATATCAAGAAATCATTTTTATTGCTGACCTCAAATTTTACAAAGAATGAACTCAAGAGTCTTTTGTCCAGATGAACACATATCCAAGATTTTATAGACACGGAATTGCCTGGTTTAGAAATACCTTTGTCGTTGCTCCTAAGTCAATCATTACCTCACAGCATTTGGAAGGAAATCACTTAATGCAATGCCGAAATTTGTTTATGGGGAAATGGAGAATGATCTCCAATCTCACATATTCTTTTCTTTTTTTTCTTTTGTTTTTATTGTTCAAGTTCAGTTGTCTCCATTTTCCCGCCGCCACTTTCTCCTGCCCCCGACCCCCTCTCCCCTACCCCGCTGTGGCTTCGTCTGTGGGTCCTTCATATGTGCTCCCTGACGACCCTTCCCCGTCTCTCCCTTGATCTCCCATATTCTAACTGTAAAAAATAAATGACATTTTAGTTGTGAAAATAGTGAGATTATAGAAAAAGTGTCTTAATCAAGATAAAAAGACTTCTACTGGGCCACCCTCATAATCAACAGTGAGTGTTTCTCTCCCGTTGCTTTTTGCCGTATCAGATTCGGAGGCTGAGAAATCTGTTAGGTCGAAACCGTGTTCCCCTCCCACTGCATTTCCTGTAGAAGGTACCAAGAGAAAAACTGAAATTTCGGCGGAAGACTATACTTTGCTATCATAGGAAATGAACCTAGAAAATCTACCAAGTTCTTGCAAAGTGCAGTTCAAAATATATTGTAATATATTATAATTTACATTTGTTTATATTAATGTGTTGAGAATAAGAGAAAATATTTCTCACGTTTAACTTTATTAAACTCTTTTTTTTAGCTTTCATTCCTGGACTAAAGAAAGGTATGGAAGTCACCAAAATCATCCCCATGGTGCATGTTTCGTTTTCAAGTGCATCACTACTTTGTGTTTGTTTCGAGAACTTTAGGCCTTTGCAATTTCAACTGTTTGCTTGAAACACACTTTTAGTTGTTTAAAATGAACTGATATCTAGGAAGGGTTTACGGCTGGTTGGATAGTTTGTATAACTGGATGTCCTTTCCAAGTTATGTGTAATCTTTGGAAAGCACAATGACCATAACATACAGTCTTTTTTTAGTTTATAGTGGTTACTTTGAAATTAACTACAGATTTAAATTATTATTTCTTTTTCTTCTTCTGACACTGTAAACATATTCAGCGTTTTGTCTGAGGAGGCATTACAGATATCATTCTATGTTATATTTTTATTCAAATTTGATCTGTCAATTGTACATGTTGCGTACATGCCTCACAAAATAACCCAAGTTTACATTCTTTGTGAACTTGTAAATAATCTGCATTTTCTTTTCCAAACGATAGTGTATAGATTACCTGTCGATATATATGAGTTAAGGTCGATGGAAAACAACTTTCTTTACATATGAAGTTTAAGCAATCAGTTAAAATGTGTATAATTTTATTGTGCTGACAAAGCGTTAAACTACTGCAGGATGTTTCGTGGATTTGCACTCGCTGTGAATATGTGCCCATTTCTTTATTGTGTCTTTCATATTTGGGGACACATCTGTCATACTGTTCCATTGCTATTTTAAAAAAGAATTTGTTTCACTCCATACACTTATTTTGAAATGCAGTTTTGTAGTCCATTGTTATTTTGACCAAGTAGAAATAATACTCAGAGAATAAATCTTCCCGGAATCAGTCATAAAAATCTACATTAGTATGTAAAGAACCTCACTTTTAATCATTTTTTGACATATCATCAATACTAACAGCATGCTTTATCATTTTTTGGTATTTGAAATGTTCGTAAAATGTTGCTGTGGTCTCTTTTATATTCTGTTGGAATAGCTTCTTGAGATTCTATATAATGAGTTATAATGTCCATTGTAAGTTTTTGACTATCACATAAGTAGGAGAATTTCAAGCTACATATCTTATTCTCCTTGGAGGTCTTGAGTGTTCAACATTTACGTGGAGAATCCAGGTGAAAGAGAACGCACTGTGCACGCTCTTCACTTTGCCTACCCGCTTCTCGGTGGCTTTTCGGTGTCTCCGAGAAACGCCGCCCAGGAACTACAGCGCGAAGGTGTCGTGCGGGTTGGTTTGTATCTGTGATACAAAGTCACGGTGCTTTGATCGCAACTGTTCAGAGGTGTAGTGATGGGTAGATCAAAACGCTGTGGTACATTTACACAGTGGAACACTACTCAGCCGTAAAAAAGAAGGAAATCTTGCCCTTCCCTTATTATGCTCAGCGAGATAAGCCAGTCAGAGAAAGACAAGTACCATGCGATCTCACTGCATGTGCGTTCCAGTCTCCTTGGCTGCCAGGTTACATGGATGTTGCGCAAACCGTTCTCGTTATATGAACAGTGGCTGGACTTTTTCCGGACAGACCTCACCATATCCATTACTTTTCTCTGCATTGTCTTGAAATTGATTCTATTTGACTGACACAGAGCAAGATAAAATATCACATTTCTTTACTTAGGTTTGCAGGTGCCACATCAAAAGTTGGTCCTATTATGAGGCACAAATTTTTGTTTGAAATATACTTTACAAATGGGCATTTCTCTATAATCGTTGAAAAAGGCAACTGTCGTGTTAGGTAAAATGCGAATCTAAGAATATACCTTAGGAGTCTTGAATTTCAAGTGGTTGAATATCATTGATTTTGATCTGCACTGTCAAATGAAAATAGGAGAGACATATGTAATTTTAAATTGTCTAGTGGGTATACATATAAAAAACAAAAACAAAGAGGGGAAATTAAATTTAGTAATATATTTTATTGACCCCAATATATCCAGAATATCATCATTCCTCCATGTAATCAATATAAAAATTATTAATGAAATATTTTACATTTCTTTTTACAGCAAGTTCAGCTAACCTCATTTCAGCCTCCCAAAGCCTGAGGATTAATTGCTGGGTTTGGGCTGCAGAGAGAAAAAGGGTGTTGGTAGACATTTGTTTGATAGTATACCTTAAAGAAAAACAGACAGACAAGCAACAGCCCTTGAAACCCTTGAATCTGTGCTTGCTCATCTGAGAATCTTTTCCCCCTGGCTGGTCAAAGTTCAAAGAAAGAAAAAAACATTTGGGAAGAATACTCTGGTTGATTTTTGCGGCCATGAGCGATTAAAAAATGGCGAAAGTGAAGCAGCAAAGGATTGTGTAGATCAAAGTCAACACTTTTAATTGCAGATTTGGTATAATCTATTTGAGTCTCTTAAGAACCGCAATTGAGTGCAGCTCACTCCTTGAAAGTCCTTAGTAGAGAGCGCTGATTGGCACTGCTTACTCTGGAGGTTATTTTCAAAAGTGTGCTGTCTAGTGTTTCATAATAGTCAGGGTGCATCGCTGCCGGAACTGAGCCAAAGGCTGCAAAGTTTCCATCTCCCAGTTTGTGTAAAATTCGCACTTCAATTTTAAATGATTAATGATATACCATATTTTGCTGTGTATAATGCACACTTTCTGCCCAAATTTTTGAGGCACAATGCTAAAACATAAGTGCACATTATACACGGTAAAATACGGTACCTTACAATGTTGAGGTGAATGCGAGAAGCTGATTTTCGAAGAATATTAAATAAAAGCCTATAATGTCTTAAACAAATGTAAAATATTCCTATAAGAGATGTATGTCAGAGACAATTCAAAACATTTTTAGTTGCTTGATAATTACTTACCAACGGTCCAAACTGTCACCAAACTAAAAACAGAGGATGCCATGCGTAGTGATGAAATTCAGTGCTCATTCAATACAACAACATTCAAATAAATTGACAAGTGCTTTATACTTTAACTACGATCAAGTCCAATTATATCATTGCTTATTGATAAGGATGTGGAGTACAGTCTTCAGAACCCAAGGGAGATTTAGAAACTATTCACAGTTTGCAGCTTGGAGAAAGCAAGTATTGATGCTTCACGCAGTTTGAATGGACACCAGATTAACAAAGTTGTATTTTCTTTGCTGTCAGAAGTTGTTGCTGCTCTCCAAATATAATAATATCTGACAAGGGAAGAGGGAATAAATAGGAAATTTTAGGGAACCCATGTTGAGCATTTTTTAAAGATATTTATTTATACAGACCCTCTTAAGCTTTTTCGAATGTACTTAAAAATCGAAAGAATACCAATATTTTAAAAAACTAATAAAACTATGGGAAAGATTCTTGTCAGCAAGTGTCAGGATATATAAGGTTTTAAAAATAAAAACAAGATGGCAGCTATGCAGAAATTGGTAAATCAATGTGGTAAAATAATGAAGTGCTGGAGCTGACCGTAATGCATGTCTGAAGTTAATATATGATTTAAAAATAATCAAAACAAGAGCTGATGGTATGAATTATTAAACAAATGGTACCGAGAAAGTTGGCAGAGTATTTGGAAGAAGATCATCACTTCAAAGCACATATACAAGAAAATTATAAGAGATCAAAGATAAGACTATAAACCTGGGGACATACAATCTAGAAGAAAATGTAAGTAAATATTAACCAAAGAAATATGCCTTGTTTTAGTATTTGCTCTTGAATAGCTGTATAATCAGTGGCAAACACTTCTAATAGAGATAGTTAATTGCACTAGATTACTGAAATTAGTTCTCATCCTTCGCTATAGAAATTAGTTACTTCTGGTTAGTTTCACAAAATGTCTCAGTTCTAGGATGGTTCTCTTGTCATTAATTTAGACATAGCTCTCGGAAGAGAGGGTGATTGTAGAAGGCAGAGTGTGTGGCACCAAGTAATAATTTTCTCTTCCTAAATATTGATTTTGATGATGATGATCAACAACTTTAAATGCCCAGATGTAAAATATTACTCATCGTTCAGATTTCAAAGCAGCAAGAGATGAATCAGTCATTTGCAAACAAAGGGCTAATTTTTTTTTTTGGTAGATTTCTTATTTATTTATTTATTTATTTTTAGAGCAAGGGGAAGGGAGGGAGATAGAGAGAGAGAGAAAGAAACGTCCATGCATGGTTGCCTCTCGCGCGCCCCCTGCTGGGGACCTGGCCCACAGCCCAGGCCTGCACCCTGACTGGGAATCGAACCTGCGACCCTTTGGTTTGCAGGCCGGTGCTCGATCCACTGAGCCACACCAGCCAGGGCCAAAAGGCTATTTTCAAATAAGTACTTGAGTGATTCCTCCTAACAATATTTGATCAAATTGAGTCTGTATTCATAGATGTAGCCCCGTTGTTCCTTGAATACTAATATATTTTCAGTGTATGTTTCCGAAGCCTCTTTTTCCGCTTCCCCGTCATCATGACACACACAAAGATCTCAAGGATTGGGATGCAAACATCTTGGGGGCAAGTGACATTATTGTACCCTTACAAAGTGATGACATTCAATGCTCATTTAATAGAACATATGTGTCTAAGTAAATTTTTAATAAAGGAATTTTAATCATTTTGACCTTTGAGATAGATCCAAGACAGATCCAAGAAAGTAAAGAACTATCTTGGAAATTGGGATAATTCCTCACATTCCAGGTTCATGCAGGCCTTTAGGATATGAAATCCTGATCAATTTTAAATGACTCAGTACATAATTTAGAATCTGACTGGCTGTAAAAATATTTCCTTGTCTTTGCAGAAATAAAAGCATTCACCTTTCTTCTTAACAAAGACTCATTTAGCCTCTTAAAGTCCGTTTCCTCATTTGTAAAAGGTGAGGACATAATGAATTAAGGCATCAAAGAACTCAGCACCGCCCTTTGGACGTTACAGGCGTTCGATGTTATGATAGAAAAATAACATCATTTCTCCATTATCCTTGTTTTCTGGATGCAACTTTTACTGCATGCCTGCGGAAACTGTAGGCAAAATTCATTTTATTGTA